TTTTTTTTTTTTTTTGGTAGGAAAAAGAAATGTTGTGTGGTTGGGAGGGTGTGTGTGGGGTGCGTGTGTTCTGGGATTTCCAAATCCCGCAGCTGTCCTTTCTCTCGGCGCTGCATATTTCACACACGCCGGGGGCCACAGCACAGCCACAGAGTCGCAGGGCAAAGGCTCTGACGGCAGCCACCTCCTCTCTGTCCTGTGCAGACACCTCTCACCTTGGCAGGGTGGCCTTGGGGACACGCAGAACAACTCCATGATGCCCTCCTCCCACAGGGCAGTGTGCCAAGTCTTAACTCTCCTATTCACGTGGGCTCGAGGCAGCTGGCAGCCCAAATCCCCCGCTTTCGTCTCGATTTTTCAGTCTCCTCTGAGGTCCCCCCCAATCCTCATCAACCTTTTCTTTTGAAAGTGGGCTGGTGACCATGAATTGACCAAATGCTAAGTTTCACCTTCCCCATGGAATGCAGAGAGGGGAAGCCAAGAAGAGGTGACAGCATTGTCCCCTATTAAGGGGCCTTCTGTTTTCTGGGTGGGGAGGTGGTTATCTGGGATGATGCCAGGAAGGGAGGTATTAGGACATGAGCTTCCAAATCCAATAGTACTGGGTTCTAATCCATGCTCTGACACTTGCTAGCTGGGAGACCTTGGATATATTTTCAACTCCATCAGTGCCTCATCTATAAAGTGGGTCAGAGCAAAAAATTCTCTTCAGGGGGTAAAGACAATGGAAGGAGGTGACTGGGCCACAGTGACAGTCCCAGAATAGCCCGCAGTTCGTCTGAGTTCCTCCCCAGGTCCAAGCAGGGGGACTCACTGCAGGCCACTCATTCTCCTCACACTCCCTGGGCTCCCTCGGTGGGCCAGGTACTGTAATGCACCTGGCATCAATTTTCCAATTCAATTTTTACAGTAACTCATTTTTCAGATAAAAAAACTGAAACTCAGAGGGATTAAGTCACTTTCCCAAGGTCCCAGGGAACCGGGATTTGAACCCAGGCCGTCTCCCCTTGAGGTCACACTCCTAACCCTCTATGCCAAGGTGTGCATTAGAGCAGATGTTTCCCCGACACTGAACACGGGGAGCTGGCTTCCGGCTGCAGCGTGGGCAGCCAGAGCTGCGGGGGAGTCTTATCTGAGCTGATATCAAACATCGGGAGGGCGGAGGGAGAGGCAAAAAAATAGGAGGCTTGTCTTTGGGGTTTCAGCTCAGCTTACCAAACGACAAGAATTTTCAATGCTGCTACAGGGTGACAGAGTGGTCAAACAGGTTTGTGGTGGCTCGGGGAATAATGGGAAGTGTTGTCACAGAAGCTCCTGAGGACTGCAGGAAAGGGGAGGCGGGGGGCACCTGAGGCATGATCATGAGCCCAGAAGCTGCCCCACTACTAAGTGGAGGCCTGGGGAGGCTACTTGTTTTATAGCTCAAAAATAAGAATTTTCGAAGCTCACATCACGGCCCTCAACTGTCCCTGGCACTACTGAAGATTACCAAGAAACATGAAGCAAGATCCCTTCATCTTAACGAGATTAGAATCTGATTTGAGAGACAGGATTGGCATACATAGATATGCATGTATAAATACCTACCTAAGCACTTGTATAAAAAACTTAATTTATAATATAAAAAATGTATTGTGAACAACCTATAACACAAAGCCATACTTTCTTATACCTTGTGTTGTGGGGGATTCATGGTGACTCACCCCAGGCAGTGGGGGGTTTGGGGATAAGGGGGAGGGTAGGAAGACCAACAGGTCCCTTAGCTGGTGGTCCCAGTTCCCTTGATTAATTAGTCTTCAAGACAGACAGTCAAAGGCTTAGGGATCTGGCCACAGATTCGTGGACATGGACTTGAGGTTCAGAGGATGTCAGGGAGAGAGAAAAGGCAAGTGGCTACAGAAGCCACTGTCCATACAAATGTGACTTCCCTGGGATTCTAAGTGAGAAGTCCCTGAGACCAGAGAAAGTACTGAATGTCCTCCCCGGAGCTTCCAAGAGAGCTCGCAGGCTCCTTTGTCACGACTGTCGGATGAGTCCATCAGATGTACGGGATTGTGAGACAATGCGTAAGTCGGGTTAATCAGCGGTTAATAATCACAGTAAACTAACACCAAGCACCTCCTATGTGACTCGGTTTCCTCATTTATAAAATGGAGTTAGCGAAAAGAACATTTCCTAGAGGGCTGCAATGAGGATCCAATGAGGTCACCATGCAGAAACACGGCAAGTGCTTCCTGGCACAGAGTGACTGCTCTTAGTACAACCACGAGAATGACAATGACGAACGCATCTGCTCTGAAGAAACGATAGAGCCGTGTCTTGCTTGGCTGCAAGTCAGCCTCAACAAGTGAAAATTTCGTTGGGTCAAAGTTTCCTGGAAACTCCTAAGTCACCCAAAAAGCACAGCGCCCATGGCATCGTTCACCCGTTTCTAGTAATTCGCTGCGGAAGAGATGCTTGCTCCCTCTGTGGAGCTCACTGGATGAAGCCGCTGCTCAGTTTAGGGATCATCGGGGGGAAAAAAGAGCCTGTTTTGTTTTTGTGCATGTGAGATTCTACTGGATCTACTGGAGGGGATGAGACGGATACACAGAGATGCTCAATACTTGTTCCTACGACTGGCTCGTGAACCTCAACGGAACAGGCCTCTAGCGGCCTCAGAAATTCAGGGGATGGTGGGCACTCTGTGGTCTGAAATGATTCCTCTTTTCTCTTCCTAAACTCCAACTCTGGGTGACGGTGTGTTCAACAAATGCCAGTGGAACAGAACTGGAATCGAATGATTAGAGAGCCGCATTTGGAGAAGGGGGGAGGGGGAGCGCCGAGGGGAGACAGAAGGCAGGTGGACTTACTTCTTCAGGGTCTGAAAGCCATGCTCTTTGAACTGTAGCTCCTGCTGGAGATGGACCATTTCTCTCTTCAGCTTGTTGACCTGGATGGCGGAAGACCACACATGAGGCGAGGTCAGAGGCTGACATCAAGCTGCGGGCTGCCTTCTCCCAGAAGGGGAGCCCAGAGCTCCCCAGCCCCCCGCTCTCGCTGCATCACGACTCAGGTCAACAACCCTGGGGTCACATTGGTCACAATACCCTCCCCTCACCAATGCTGCCTGCCTTGGTCTCTGCAGTTGCCCATTCAGTCGGCATCCCAGCCTGGTTGTCCTGCGGATCATCCGCAGCCAGCCCTCGCTCCAGGGAAACAGGAAGAGGGCAGGAGCCGGCCGACCTGGGATAGAGCTCGGCCTTCCCATGCCCAGCTGGGTGACCTCTCTCAAGCCATCTCGCCTCTCTGAGCCTCCCCCCCTTCCTGTTCTGATGGACGATGGCAACTCCCAGAGCCGGGCATTACTTAAAGCAGGCAGTGGGTATGGGAGTGCTGTGCATGGATGCAAAGGGCAATATAATAACTTCAAGGCAAGACTTGGCCCGGGAGCCAGACCCAGTCTGCGGGAATGCTTTGTTTGGCCTGCAGTGTTATTAAAGTTTAAAAAATTAGTTGCTAATAACTAAATATTGAGACATTTCATATAATAAGCTTAGATATATATTTCCCTAAAAATACCTGGAGATCTGCCAACCCTTAGCCCACATTCTTGCATGACCACAGTAGGCTAGAGCCTTTAGCCACTGCTCTCTATTGCCTCATCCCCAGCCCTCTCCCCACTTTTACGTTTTCTTACAGGCATCTGAGTTTGCAGAACCTATCTGAAGTTGAGCTAAATCAGTGTTCAAAATACTGACTTTACCTTGAGCACATCACTCAATGCCCTGCCTCAGCTTCCACATCAGTAAGATGGTAATCATGTAGTATAATAAGATCATGTAGAACCAGCAGTAGCTAGAAGACAGCACATTACACTGAGAACGCCAGAGTGAACCTGAGTGAGTCCCTGTGACCTTGGGCAAGTTACTTCTTCCCTAAGCCTCTGTTTGCTCATATTTAAATGCAGATGTTGACAGGAGCTACTTCATGGGGTTGTCGGAAGGACAAGAGATCATACACATGAAGCTTTTAGCACTACGCCTCATATATAGGGATTGCTTGTGACATGGTAGCTGCTGGTACCACGACTGTTACTATGACGACGACCCACTGCTGCTACTACAGTTACTACTTAGGGCCTGTGAGTCAGCACTGGCTGCCCCTGCCTGGTTGAAGCATCCACTCTGGTCTTGTAGGTGGGCTAGTGACCTAAAGCGGCCTCGCTGACCCCCATCAATAGCACAGAGAGGCCCTACCCGGGATTTTGCAGTGGCAATTTCCGCTTTCAGGATCTCAGGGTCATACTTAGAGCTGGATGACGAACCAGAGACCACTGCAATGAAAAAGAAAATAATAAATTCTGTAGAAGAAACACATTTTGGCAAAATTGGCTTATTTGGTCATCTACATAAACCCAGAAAGGAATGACTATTAGTGAATAACCTAAATGTCCAACAGTGGAGAATCTGTTAAATAAATATGGTACATGCACGAAATGGGGACTATACAACTTACGTGACTTAAAATGATGGAGCAGAAGGATACTGAACAAGGAAAGCTGTCTGAAATTGTTATATGAAAACAATAGTTTCTAAAGAACTATAAAGAGTAACACAAATTAGGAAAAAATACACAGTAAACAAATACACATATTTCTCCAGAGAGAAATATACCAAAACATAACTAAGCACCCAATTAAGAAACAGGCCATCAGCTTCCTCTGCGTCTGTGTCCCCTTGCTAACTTCAAACAAAAAGAATTTTATACTTGGACAGGGCCTTAGAGGCTGCCTTTCAAGTCTCACCTTTTTAAATGTTCCGTGTTTATTGGTTAAACAGGGTGGGGCAAATGTAGGTTTACAATTGTTCGTATGGAAAATAACACAATAATTAAATAATAATACAAGAATAAACTCTGTGTTTCACATACTTACAACTGTAAACCTAGTTTTGCCCCATCCTTTATATGAATACAATGTAATGGTCCAACACAGTACAAGTTTTGCTATGAAAAAAGAGCATCCCACAGGTCTCTATCCCCACATTTCACTCATTAAAAGGGAACCATTTAAACGTGCTCAGCCAGTTTCCTGGGCACCCACTCCTATGTGTCTAATTTAATATGCGTGTATTGCTGCTGCTTGATTTTTTTCAGTTGGGCATTCTCTTTTCACTTGTCTCTGCAGGATGCAGACTGAGGTTCCTCCCTTCCCCAACCCCTGTAGCACACACATGAACCCCTCCAAGCTCCCCATCCTCCTGAGGGACAGCATCATTTAGGTGAAAGCAATCTTCCGTGTTTGCACTACTTTTACTCTGCAAACACTATTCGGGGCAGAGGCATGCAGCCGACTTTGCTTACTTTTCCTTTCCAGCACATTTATTTTTCCTAGAGTTAATCATTGCCATTTTTATGATTGCCTATAAACTTATCACTGATTCAACCTCACACTCTGCCAGTTATCTAAGTCTCTCACAGAGTCTAGGCCAGTACACCCCATTCTATCTGGTTCCTCTTTTGGGCTTTGTCTTGCCCAGACGTATGTTGGCCTCAGAGTGCACTGCTTGCTCTCTCTGCACAGCTGGCATCTTGAGATCTCCTCCTTGACTCTCTCCTCTTTCCTAAATACCATGTCCTCCCCTCTGTGGCCTATCCCATCATTTTGGCAAAATACCAAAATGAGAAGGAAGCTAAAGTCTTGCATCTTCAAAAATACCGTGTCTATCCTATACTTGTTTACAGGTAGTTTTGCTGGATATAAAATTCTAGGCTGGAAATGACTGCCTTAAAATTTTGAAGGCATTGCTCTACTGTCTTTTAGGTTTCCAGTGTTACCACTGAGAAGTCTGCAGCTATTCTGAGTCCTAATAATTTTTCTATGACCTGGTTTTTCTCTTGGAAAGTTTTAGGATCTTGAATTGTTCCTAGTGTTTAAGTCACACAATGGTGTGTCTTGGTGTGGCTGACTTTTATCCATTGTGTTGAGTGCTCACTGAGCCCTTTCAATCTAAAAACTCTCCTCTATCAGTTATGGGCAACTTTTCTGAATAATTTCATTGATGCTTCTTTCCCTATTTCCTCTGCTCTATCTGAACTTTTATTACTCAGATAGACTTCTTGGTGTGGTGCTCTATTTCCCCCCTTATTTTTCATCTCACTGTATTTCTGTTCTGCTTTTTAGAAGATTTCTTCAGTTTTATCTTCTAGTCTTCCTACGGATTTTATTTCTATCATCATATTTTAATTTCCAAAGGCCCCTTGTGTTCTCTGAGGGTTCCTTTTTATAAAATGTAAGCATCCTGTTCTTGTTACATGGTTGTGTAGCTTCTTGATATTTTCCTCTCCAAACATACTCCCTCCTGCTCCCCCTAAGGCCTTCTCATGTGTTTGTTTTAATCTCTATTTTTCATGTTTGAGGCTTCTCTCAGATAGCTGGATCTCAGCTGGCAGCTCACATTGAAGAGTAGAGGCCCTAAAAGCTGACTGGAGTGGAGCTTGTTGACTGGATTACGTGGTGGATGATTTGCCTGGAGTGCTTCATCCAAGAATCTGCATTGTCAGTGTCTTTATATCATTTCTTTTTCTCTCTTTTCTCTGTTCAGATTTCCCCAGACACTTCTACTGTCCATCCTGGAGGGTAATAACCTGACACCATTCTGGGAACTAAGTGGTACCTGCAGGTTGGGGTCTCAAAATCCTGTCAGTCCATGTTCACTTAATCACCACGTGTTTGGTATGGTGCACCCAGCAGTGAACTTGCCTGGTGTCCTGTAGCCCAAACTCTGTTTTGTTCTCTCCAAAAAATAAACCTCAAGTCTTTTGCCAGTTGGGGATGAACAGTTATCAATTTGGGGAGGAAATCAGGTTGTCTGTCTCAGAAACAACTTTCATCCAGTTCTCTGATTTGAGACCCTCCTCACTTCACTCTTACTGCTTCTATAGAGATCAGTGCTTCTCCAATTCACAAGGCCTCTGCAAGTGCTCTTTACAGACTACAGTATTGGTTTTTTTCACTATCGGCACATTTTCTCTTTTCTCAGGTCTATCAGATAGGTTGCCACCTGTCCATCTGCTTGCCAGCTTCCACATTATACAGGGTGGGGCAAAAGTAGGTTTACAGTTGCTCGTACGGAAAACAATAATTAATAAAATAATAATACAAGAATAAACTCTGTTTCGCATACTAACAACTATAAACCTACTTTTGCTCAATCTTGTATTGCTGCTTTGCTCTCCAAGTTCCCTTGTCCCTGTGCATGTATGCCTTTAAGGATCACTTATCTGATCTTTTCTTAGTTTCAGGAGTCAGTGAAATCAGGTGGGTGGTTCAACTGGCATTTTTCATTGAAAGCCTCCCAATGATTTATTTTTCAAATTTCTTCTCTCTAAGGCGTGGAGTGAGGAAGGAGCATGGTGAGGTCCAAAAGAATCCAGTTCTCCTAAGTTCTCATCTTTTAGGGGATGGGAGGACCCCAGTGTAGCTCAATAACCTTAGAAACTGACTGGCTGACTTGGAGGAAATTAAGAGAACTGGTTTTGAGGTCAGATGCTCCTGGGTACAAAGGCTAGCTCTGCCATTTTTTTACCAGTGTGATCTTGGGGAACTTCCCTTCTCTGGGCCTCAGTTTCTTTACCTACAGGATGAGAACAGAAGTATCTTGCAGGATTGTATGTGTCTACGTGTGTGCGAGTGGGGAGGGAGGTTACTTTCAATGGCATATGTGGAGTGCCCAGCACATTGCCCTGCAGGAATATAACAGGTACACATTAAATGTTATTTCTTTTCTCTTTCCCCATAGAGCTGGAGATTGTTCCAGAGGTGAAAACAAAGTCTCCATCTCCAGGGCAGGGCCCACAACAACCAAGGCCAGGTGGCAAAACTCTCACAAGCCCTGGCAGGCCATCTGAGTTAGAAGCGAGGCATGTGGCCTCACCGGTCTATCGACATGCTGAAGAGCCTGACCTGGAAGGCAAACTTGGCTTGTAAAACCTGAAGAAAGTCATGAGGAGGCCTGGGCCATCTCTCTCTAATTGGGATGCTTGGGCTGGGGGATGCCCAGCTCCTGGCTGGTTTGGATCTCAGATCAGGTTACCTGAGATGGCCCCAGTCCCTTCAGATGGAAGTTCTTTAATGTTCAAAACAGTGGTGTCTTTGAGCCTGATGGTGCTCTCGGGAGCGTCCAGATGTCCTATGACAGGACTGCATCCTTCCCACCACTGATCATGAATTTATTCTTATTGGTTCCAAGCATCTGCTAAAAATCTTTGTCACTTCAATGCCAATGAATTAATAATATAAAATAATAATTGTGATCATCTGAGAGCTTAAGAATATGACAAGTACTATCCCGAGTGCTTTATAGTTGTTAACTACTTTAAGCCCCACAACAGCCCAGTGCAGGTGATGGTGTTGTTATGTCCATTTTCAGATGAAGAACTGAGGCAGAGAGAAGTGGAATAATTTGTGCGAGGTCACACAGTAAGTTGCATATACTGGGCTTAGACCCTGGAGGTCCAGCTCCAGAGTCCATACTCTCAAAATATTATGGAAACTGTTTCCTGCCAAAAAGAATATTTATTCAGCCATTAAGATATTCTAAGGGAATTATTTTACCTAGACCAGTGGTTTACAACTGGGGGAATTTTGCCCCAGAGGACACATCTGGCAATGTCCTGGAGACATTTTTGGTTGTCACACTTGGGGTGGGGGCAACTACTGGCATCTAGTGGGTAGAGACCAGGGATGCTGCTAAAGATGCCACAATATACAGGATAACCCCTACAGTGAAGGCTTATCTGGCCCAAAATGCCAGTAGCACTGAGGCTGAAAAACCCTCGCAGACAAGCAGATATAGTGTGATACATGGAAGAAGACAATAAAGAGAGCCATTATAGAGGCTAACTTTGTGGAGGGGAGTCGGCTGATGGAATTGTCACAAGTGAGCCTCTCAGAGGAAATGACCTGAAGGATGAGACTGGAAGGATGAGAAGGAACCTGATGTGCCAAAGGATCAATAGAAAAGCATTCTAAGCAGGGGAACAGCAAGCTTGTCCATGTAGGGCAGACTACGGGAGCAGGGGGTGGGCAGGTGGGCAGGGCATTGGCAAAGGGGAGCCTCAGTGCATCTGGAGCCTAATGACTGACAACAGGAGATGGCGTGGGAGCGACTGGCAGGGGCCTCATCATATAGGAATGTATAGGACATGAAGAGGGAGGGGAAGCCACTGAAGATTTTTCTTTAAATTGTGGTAAAATATATATAACATAAAATTTACCACTTTAACTATCTTTAAGTGTAATTCATGCAGTGCAAACATCACCGCCATCCATCTCCAGAACCTTTTCAACTTCCCAATCTGAAACTCCACCCCATTCAACACTAACTCTCCACACCCCACTTACCCAGCCACCGGAGGATTTTAAAGGACATAATGTAACCTGATTGGCGACAAGTGAATGGAAGGAACATGGCAAATGAATCATTGCAGGGCGTAAGCAGGGGCAGGAAGAGATGGTTTGCACAAGGAGTGGAGGAGGGGGAAAGTGGGCAGATCTGAGAAGCACCGAGGGGAATACAGGCAGGACTCGGGGCAGCCATTCCCTCCTCCCTGCAGTGGTGGTGGGGGGCGGGCGCTGGTGGAGGGAGGTACTCACAGCTGACCTGGGAGCCCAGCTTGTGCTCCCAGACGGCATGCAGCTGCTGATACTCCTGCTGGGCAAGCTCCAGGCGCTGCTGCTTCACCTGGTAGATCTCCTTCTGTGCACTCAGGGCCTCCTGGGCCACCACCAGGTAGTCCTTCAGCATGTGTTCCTGCTCCCGCCGCCATTGTACCCGGGGGTCCTCGATCTGAGTGGTTTCTGGAACAGACCCCAGAGACTCTAGGTCAGCACCTCACAATTATCTGTTGGGTTGGTGGCCTGTGGCATCCACTACCAGAAAACAAAAAGCATAATGAAGAGAAATCCACAATAAATGTGAATGGGTTAAACTTACCTATTAAACAACAGAGACTCTTCACTGTGATCACAAAAACACACAAAATAAACCAGGATCAACTTCCAAACCCAAAGTCTATCTGTTTGATAACAGCTAGGAGAAAGACCAGATCTGAGTTCTAATCTAGACAGAGGATGAAGGACATTATAGATGCTTAAGGACATCTGGTTTGGCAAAGAGTAAGGAAAAGTAAAATAAATACTTCAAAGGATATGGAGAAATAGGAACCCCCATACCCTAAGGGAAATGTAACTTAGAACAGCCTTACTAGAGGGCTATCTGACCACACACATTACGAGCCTTAAAATGTCAATACTGTTTGACCAATAATTTGCCCTATAGTAATTTATTATAGTAATAATAAGAAATTAAAGCAAAGACGCATTTGTACAAAACCATGATGATAATAACAATGATGAAAATAAATAACAAGCACTTATTTCATGTTTAGTCTATGCCAAGCACTACTCTAATTACTTTATATCTATTCACTTCTTCAATCCTTACTAACCCTATAAAGGGGATACTATTACTGCCCCCATTACACAAAAGAGAAAACAGACATAGGGAGGTTAAGTAACTTGCTCAAGGCCAAATATGAAATAACTGCTCAAATATGATACACTAATACAGCTATTTTTTAAAAAAAGTCTTTGAAAAAAAATTAATAAAATGGAAAGGTGCTTATGATAGAAAAGTGACAGTACAGTGTGCAAAACTTCATAAATAATTTTGTATTTATCAAAATAAATATGGACATTCTCGAACATATTAAGAGGAAACAGCAAATTATCAACAGTGATTTCATTTTTATTTTTTTAAATTACGTGTACAATAAATATGTACAGTGGTAATTTGAAAAAAAGTCAAAAGACAAAAAGACATAAATTTTTTTTTTTTTTAAAAGGACACTGGAAGCTGAGCAGATGTGTAAGAGGTCAAAGCAATGTCAAAGAATCACTGCCCATTGACGATCAACTCCTCAGTCATTTTCCAGTTGGTGGATGGAGTCAGGGGTGACTAACACCCCAGAAATTCTACATTCGTAGCCAAGTGGTGAATCCAGGGTTTTACTTAACCCAAACAACTTTATTAATTTTGAAAAGAAAATTGGCCTGTCATGACCAGGCTGATGATGTCTTTTAAAGTTTGTAACGTTTTAGAATTTATATTTTTGGTAAATATACTACAAAATAATACAAAGGAAAAATCTCACAATTCCACAATTGCAAATTTATAAAATAAGAAGTGAGAGTTCCCATTTCTCCAATCCTACTCCCCAGAGGTAACTGCTATTAGAAGTTCACACACTAACAGATATTGTCCAGTTTGTCTACAGATCTGTTTATATATACATGTGTCTATATACACCAACTTATTTTTAATGCAATGTGGCCCCATGTCACATACATTGGTTTGCAACTTGCTTTCACCTGCAACTGATACATCCTTCCATCCTTCCTAGTAGGTGCATAAAGGTTAACCTCAATTTCTCATTAATTTTTTTCAGTTGTACTGCTGTTTATACTTTTTTCACTTACCTCAATCGTTTCAAGGATCGCATAGTACTCCATGGTATGGTATTAGGCTTATTTACAGTAGGGTATTAGTGGTTCCCCATACCACACTATTGGGAAACATTTGACTTGTTTTCAGTTCTTTTGCTACCACGTCAATGCTGCAGTGAGGATTCTTACAAACATACTTCTATGAACTTGTCTATTAATTGTGTAGGATAGATTTCTTAAGAGAGGACCTACTGGGCCTGAGGATAAACACCATTTAAATTTTAACAGATAGAAGGTTATACCAACTTTTATTCTCACAAACAGCCTATGAGAGCTCCTTTTCCCTAGATTCTCAGCAAAATTGCTTAAAAAAAAAAAAAAAGTTGGTGCTTCATCTCTGGCAGCATATTAGAATCTGCCAAGGAGCTTCAAGGAATAAAAACCCAAGAAAGCCTCAACCCTGTCCCAGGACACTTACAGCAGGTCCTCGAATAACGTCTTTTCCTTCAATGTCATTTCATACAACGCTGAAGAGAGGCCCTGGGAACTTAACTCATTTATTATTAGCCTGTGACAAAACTGGTTTTGTTATACACACAGCGTTTCACAGAACACATACTGTGATCACCAATTAAAACCGTCTGACCATGATGAGTGTAAATAATGGGCACACTGACATACCAAATAATGAGAATGGATTATAATTTGGAAAGAATTGTCTGTATCTGCTCCTCTCCAGACCATCGTCTGTCCCTCTCCTCCACTTTCTTTCAGACTCACTCTAGTTAAGACTTTTGTCCCGAGTCCCTGTCCAAAGCTCCCCTTCACAGTCAGGGTCACCAGTGTCATCTGGGCTAAATCTAGTAGTCAATTCTAGGTCTTCTTCGTACTTGATCTGTCCCCCTGATAAGCTTCCTTCACGTGGCTGCCAAGACCCTCAGGTTTTCCTCCCACCTTTCCGGTCATTCCTCAGAACCATCACTTGCTTTCCTCTTCTCCGCACCCTCTTACTGTCTGAGGACCCCAGGGCTCATTCCCTGGTCTTCTTCAGTCTTCATTTATTCCTTTGTAATCTCCTCCAGCTTCATGTCTTTAAACACTATCTACATGCCAACAACTTCCATGCACGTATCTTCAGCCCCGATCTCTTTCCAAAACTCCAGATTCCCATAGTGAGCTGACCAGCACCATCTCTCAGGTGTGTGACAGGCACGAAAGACTCAATATGCCCCCAAGATCCCTGCTTCGTCCTTCCTACACCCAATCCTCCTGCAATTTTCTCCATTCTACTGATGGCCACTCCATCGGGTCAGGTGCTCAGATCCAACGAGGGTCATCATTCCTCTTTCTTTCACATCCCATATGCAATCTCTCAGGAACTCCAGTTGGCTCTACCTTGAAAATATATCCCAAGGTGGCCCTGGTCTGGGACACTGTCCTCTGTCACCTGGACTACTGTAATTGTCTCTTACAAGTCTCCCTGCTTCTGTCCTTACCCACTAAAGTCTATTGGTAGCACGGCAACCAGAGTGACCCTTTTTAAGACATAGAGCAGAACATGCCACTCATCTGCTCGAAACTCTCCAATGGCTCCCCTCTTGCATGGAGTAGAGGCCTGAAGAGTAAGGCAGACGGGCCACTGCCCCACCTCTCTCTGGCTTGATGCCCTTCTTTCCTCACTCATTCTGCTATCTGCACACCTGCCTCCTTGCCATCCCTCGAGCTAAATGTGACCGCACCTCAGTTTTTGCTCTAGCTATCTTCCTCTTGAAATGCTCCCTCACCTCCTTCAAGTCTTAGCTCACTTCTCAATTTCTCAACAATTACTTCCTCTGTCCTTACCCCACCACCCTCAAAACACGCCTCTGCTCCCCAGCACCCGCTAGCCCCACACTCTTTCTCTTCCCCCCATAATACTGATAATCATCTAATAACCTATGTAATCTGCTTCTTTATGCTGTTTATTTTCTCTTTTGCCAAAATGAAAGCTCGATAAGGGAAAGGATTACTGTCACTTACTCTCACGTATCCCAAGCTCCCAGAACTATGCCTGGAACATTGCAGGTGGGAAATAAATACTTGCTGAATGAATGAATGCTGGGTGGTAAATTTAACTTGCTTAGCTGTAATGTGTCTGTAACTCTTAAGAGAGTAATTTCCGTCAGTGAACGCTGGTGAGTCCACGGATCTGAATGCTTGGTCAGATTCACGCCACATTTGTCTCACTGGCTCCAGCTTCAGAGGCAGTGCCCTCCATCCAAGGAGAGCACCTTCACACCAAAAGGAAACCAGTAGCCTGGTAGCTGGTAAAACTACCAGACAGAATTCTTCCTATCCTGGCCCCCGTGTACTCCCATCCCCCCAATACTCCCACCTCATTTCTGCCACCATCCCCTCCAGAACAAACTCTGCCATGGCCTACTGCTCCTTCCTTCCTTCTGTTTCCCCAACGTCTCCCAAAGGCACCTTAAAATCCCACTCCTGCCATCAGCCTTTCATGGGGGGGTGCACTCAGCAATTAGGAGCAGGAAAGGACTGATTAGGGTTCCTGTGTGCCAGTGTTTAAGCCAGCGCGCCATCAGCCCCCCCCCATTAGCTTCGTTCCCCATACACACCCAATTAGGCGTATTTCCTTCTCATTACCCAGTACACAACCATGAGCTCTGCTGCCCCCAACAATGCCATTAATGCCATTAGCGGTCTCTCAGAAACTCTTCTACACTTTGGGGCCAGCAACGGTCAGCTCAATCCCCCATTCAGTCATGCACTCAAGCACCTATGCCCCTTCCTGTTTAGCAAAGGGCAAGTGCACACCTACTACGTGCCTTCTCAAGAGGAACTCGCAACACCAGGTAAATGGCTACACTACCGAGTGATGTGGGGCACAACAAAGGTATGGCCAGGTGCCACTGACACCGAGGGGAGGGAGTGGGCAGAGAAGCACCCCTCTGCTCCCCAGCAGCGGTTCAAATGCGAGCCCTGCCGTGTTTGAGCTCTGAGTGTTGAGCAGTCAATTACTACCTTTAGTCCTATTTGTAAGATGGGGATCATAGCCCTAACACCCCACAGGGTAGCAGGGGGATTCGATGGGACGATTGATGCCAGCTAGTGCCAAGCCCAGCACGTGGCACAGGGTACGCTCAGTAAACAGGTTAAGATTTAATGCCCTGTCCGCAGCCTTTGAGCTTTGCCGGGCATGTCCCATTCCATTCCATTCTCCTTCTGAAAGGACTGAGAAAATCCTCCAGTTCAGAAGGTTGAGAGTGAGACGGAAAATACTCTTTCCTCACATGAACAAATGGGGCAGCAAATTGCAGAGGACAGCAACAGTCGTGGCCAAGAAGGCACACAATGCATGAGGCCCAAGTACGCTCGACTCCCTGGCTCGGGGACCACAGCCTGGGTCCCTCCACCTGTCGGGTCACATGCTCGTCCCTTTCTCAATGTCTTCCTCCATCACAGTCCCAGAGACAAAGACACCAGAAACCTTCATTCTGGATCTGGATACCTGGTTCACAGATACAAAGTGAGGGTGCGCTGACTCGTATGCTGGGCTAGAGACACACACGCTCACACCAACCCTCTATGGACACCTGTGTGCACACCACTGGGGGCTTGCTGGGACGCTGACTGCTCCAAAATGATCTGGCAATGACAATGACACATCTACCTTTATGGGGGGGGGGGCGGTCTGTATGCACAGACACGGATATGTGTCAAAGAGAATCTATGTAGAAACACATGCACACACATGACTGAGAAATTTCTGGAATGATACACACAAAATTGTTAGCACTGGCTGCCTCTATAGAATTGAGGAGATGGGTTGTGAGAGGGGAAGCTTCAGATTCATATTTAAAACCCTTCTACATGGTTATTTTATATGAGCATACATTACCTATTTATACCTACACCGACATCTCTATCTAACTGTATAAAAAACAAAATACAATCTGGCTTTAAGAGCCCCTTCCAGACTTAGCAGGTGAGCGTGGAGGTAGAGGAGGGGGTGGGGCAGGGAGGTCAGCCAGGAACTTACTGGTGTTGTGGTCGATGAAGTAATCTCCAACCTGTGGGTCGTACGCCTCTTCCCATCCCAGAGGCAGCTCATCACTGATGCAGTCGGCAAAGGTGAGCGGCTTGGTGTACCTGGCGAGGAAGGGGAGAGACAGACTCCGTCAGCTGACAGGCCCCACACCCCGGCAACTTGCCGCTTCCCCTGGCCTCCTCAGGGTTGGTGAGCTAAAAGGTTCTCTTGAAAGTTGATGCATCTCCTGAGCGCCAAGGAAAATCACACAGGTGATGGGACCTTTCCTCAGCTAAGAGTGCTCTTGGCTCAGGGACATCTGTGCCAGTCTGTGTAAAGTTTCTGCAAAGCTATCTGCAGCCCACCCCATGCTCTGTCCAGATTTCAGAAACAAAAGGCCACTCCGGCAGTGCCCCCTCACCCAAACTTCTCTCAGTGTGTGCTCCCTCTTCCTTATGGAAATAAAGACCAGGGACCAAGGGCCAAAGCTCATCCAAGGTCACTTCATCCAACAAGTCTCTGAAAGGGTCTCAGAAGGACATCTCCAGCCAGGCACCCCCCCCCCCGCATGGTGAGTTACTCTGCCACCGAGGACAGATCAACGGCGAGGGAGCAGGATGCTCGCACCGAGCACCCTCAGGCCTCTCCTTCTGGCTCAGCCCTTGCCCTGCACTCCGCCAGCCTGGCTATGGAGATATAAATCTTACTATACAATCAGTTTGCACCCCAGAAAAACAGATGATGGGTCCCTTCCCAACAGGCCCCCAGAATCTGTGTAAGGATTATCTATCGCCTTTCAAAATTCCTCCCTGGGGATTATGAAATGATTCATCAGTGATGATCCTCAGCCAGAGAATCCTATGTCCCCCACAACTGGCGCTCAATAGGTATCTGTGGGATGGGTATATATGTAGGAACAAAAATTAACAATGCAGTCCATATTAAATGTAACAATGTGTTCTATAACTTGCTAAAAAGGAAGGATGCTCTCAATTTACTGAGAAAGACAACACTGTTAAAAGAGAAGATCTACAGGATACTGTTATGTATATTTTGCCCCAAAAATTTGTGTGGTGTGTGTGTGTGTGTAAGAAAAACTGGAAAGACAGACATTAAAAGGTTATCTCGGTACAGGGATTTCAACATAATTCAACTTTTCTCTTTTTTATCTTTATCATGGAGATGGTCAACCCCAGCAGTATAACCCGAAGCCCCACTGCCTGATTCCCAAACCTGGGCATTGCCAACAAAAATTCATGGGACTCCGTGAGTCTCGGAACAATCTGGAATGCAGAGTCCGCTACGCCAGAGATACAGATGACCCAGCTGGACCACAGGGGAGTCTGCAGCGGGCCTGAGGCATGTAGCTCTGGCGTATCTGCACCTTCAGCTACCTACGCCTTCCTACGAAGATCTTCAGTACAACACTTGGATACCCCACAGCTGCTTAATGAAAAGGCAGCTAAATGTTCCAAAGTCACCTAAGCCAAGCACAAGTGCTTCACTGAGCTCTCTGCGTGACATGAGGCAGAACTGAAACACCCCAAATGCATCACTTTTCTGGAAAAATATGAACTCCCTGGATTGTTCCAGCTGAACTAAATGCTAGCTATCAGTGTCACCAATGTGGATGGGGTGGAGTGAGATGCTGATTCCAACTTGTAGCAAATGCAGACATTGTGCCTAACAGGGATTTTTCTAAAAAGTGAATAAAAAAAGACCCAAAGTTAGAAGGGGAGGGCATGAGGAGACAGGAAGGCTTTGGTTTGATATCTGGGGTTCCCTTCCAAGAGATCATGGGGGGGGGAGCCAGAGGGCTGATATCCTGACTCCCAGAGCTCTTCCCTGGGAAAGAGAAATGCATCCATTGCAAGGCTATGCAACTTACAAGGAATCTGGACAGCGAGGATCTCTCTGGAACAAATGCCAAGAGGGAGATGAATTATTCAGTGTGCGGAGACGTGCCATTCAGAGAGGCAGGATGAAGGGAAGTGTTTTCAGCCGCACAGGCATCTAAACACATACACGTATACACACGTGCACATACTCCCCCTTCCTGCCAGAGAGGAACGGCTTAAACCAGTCCCCCCTGGGAAACTGGGGGTACCTCTCTGGTCTGCAGTGTTTCCCCTTGGGCCGGTGCCAAGAATGTGAGCTGGGAAGAGATGTCGGTTTTCAGATGTGGCCAGGACTTGGGGGCTCGCCTGGGACTCCCGGCCCCCACCCTCCGATGAAGCGTTTCATCCCCATCTAGCCCAGTGCAATCCCAGGCTCCAGCCTCCGTGCCCTGGGCTGCTGAAAACCACAGTGTGAAGTCAAATGACCCAAATGCTGAAAGGGCGGGAGGGA